TCGCTGCCCGACTTCCCCCGAGAGCACCGCCAGTCGACTACGAGATCCCTCCCACACAGGAAAGTGTTGTATACCCGGAGTACACACTGCCCGATGACGACGACGATCACATCGACGCCTTCATCAATGACATCGACGACGACATCGAGATCATCGACGCCCTCGAGGTCATGGACACCCTCGAGAACATCGATGTGCCGCCTATTGTTCCGCACACTCAGGGAATTGTGGCCTCATTTCCCTACACTAGTGACAGCCGATTGATAACCAATCAATCCATTTTACACTTCATTACAAGTTGTAAAGAAAACAAACTATTTTTTAAACGATAAATGTATTATTTTATTATTTATAATTTGAATAAAAATATTTGATTTGAAAATTTGTTTACTTTTATTTATTGTATGTCTTGTTTTTAATATAAATGTACAGTAAAACCTCGTTATAAGTAACACCATATGTACTAATGTTAAGTCTATGAGAGAAAAGCACACAAAAGTTCCTTACATAGGAAACTGACTGTACATACTTACACTACGTTAGATACTATTACTACTCATGATAAATTATCAAATCTTACGATAACATTATTATTACTAAATAACTGCATTTAATGTAAAAATACTTCATTTATATTATTAATTTATTATTGATTACTTATATTTTTGTTATTTATAATATAATTTTTAATAATATCCAAAGCATTATTTAATTTATTTTACTTATATAATCTATAATTAAACAAAGAATTTTGTCAAACATAATTTAGTAATTCAATTGACATTTAAGTTTATTACTCTTTTTTACAATATGATATTGGTAACTATGCCAGTTACACCTTAGTGATGACTTTATATTGAGTTGTCGATAACATTTCTTTGTAATTTTATATAATATTACATGTAATATATTATATATTGTAGTTATTATTATTATTTGAATTAAATATGGCGAATAACAATAATGAAAGTTCACGACTCCGCAATTACTGGAATAGGTTTGTAAACTTTATACTAAGACCATTTAGAATCCAGCATGTTGTACTCGGTGAGGTGCCACAAGATCAGCATGCTCAACAAACTGAACCACAATTGCTAAATTGCACTAAACTAGATAAACAACCAAAGGCAAGCTCATTATTATCGGTAATATTAATATATTTAATTTTTAAATAAGATTACCTTGTTCTTTTAACACTAACATGTATTTGCAAAGTGTACGTGTAATACGTCTAAACGTCCCAATTCATCGTGCTATGAAAAAGCTGATGAACAGTCGTCTAAGTCAACTACTAGTGCAGATGTAACCCATATTAGTTCAATAACTAATACATGCACTCAGGAAAATGACCAAGCACCAGATAAGCCACTACGCATTCCTGATATTAATAAACAACCATTAAATCAGAATGTTCATGATCGAGATCAAAATGAAGTCAAACCTACTCCCCATATATTACCGCAACGAATTATAGAGATCACTGTAAGTATTTGAATTAAGATAAATTTGTATATTATTTAATTATAAAATTGTTTTACAGAAAACAATATCAAAAAAAGAGTTAACAATAGTATTGTTGGGAGAGTCAGGTGTGGGAAATTAAGATAAATTTGTATATTATTTAATTATAAAATTGTTTTACAGAAAACAATATCAAAAAAAGAGTTAACAATAGTATTGTTGGGAGAGTCAGGTGTGGGAAAGTCCACATTCATTAACGCATTCGTCAATTATTTTACGTACGATTGTTTGGATGCGGCGACAGATGGACAGCCCGTATGTCTAATACCCGTTAGTTTCACAGTGACTGACCCAACGACCGGAATGCCTGTGAAGGTAACACTGGGTGAACAGGATGTGAATGAAAACACTGATGACCCGACACAATCTGCCACACATTACCCAAAATGCTATACATTTCAAAATGAAAATCTTGTGCTCAATATAATCGATACGCCGGGTATTGCGGACACGGATGGCGTGGAGATGGATAATAGAAATATGAAAAATACACTGGAATTTATTAAACAATATCCTGAAATACACGCTTTTTGTATACTTTTAAAGCCAAACAATTCCAGATTTGATGTCGTTTTCAAGTATTATTTGTTTAAACTGCTAACACATTTGGATAAAAGCGCCGCAAATAATATACTATTTCTATTCACAAACGCCCGGAGCACTCACTACCTACCCGGAGAATCGGGTCCCGCATTAATGAGTATTTTGGATCAAATCCGGGAAAACCCTCCAAATGTTAACATCTCTTATAACAAGAATACAATCTATTGTTTCGATTCCGAGTCCTTTCGATATCTCGTGGCTTTGGTTCCGCCAAATAATATTCAGTTTGACCCGAGATTTAGAAGCAGTTATACTGAGAGTTGGGAACAGTAAGTGAAATATAACTTTTAGTAATGTGTTAATTGAAATTTTTAATCCTAATTATTTGCTATTCCCTTAGCTCTGTGTTAGAATGCGGACGTTTATTGCAACACATATTATCTATAAATCCATTTATTGTGCATGGTAGATCATTAAATCGTGATGTCGGACAAGCTGTTATTTCACCAGTGGGTATATGCGATAATAACTCGGAGAATAAGGCCAACAACAATGTGCATAATGTTACTCAATGTTTTACGGAAATCAACGTAAGTTAAAAATTATATTGAACATTAGTAATAATGTATTATATTTATTAATTATTTTTATAGAAATCAATAGCGAAGACAGAGTTAACAATAGTATTGTTGGGAGAGTCAGGTGTGGGAAAGTCCACATTCATTAACGCATTCGTCAATTATTTTACATACGATTGTTTGGATGCGGCAACAGATGGACAGCCCGTATGTCTAATACCCGTTAGTTTCACATTAACGGACTCAACAACCGGAATGCCTGTAAAGGTAACACTGGGTGAACACGATGTGAATGAAAACACAGATGACCCGACACAATCTGCCACAAAATGCCCCAAATGTTATACATTTCAAAATAATAATCTTGTGCTCAATATAATTGATACGCCGGGAATTGCGGACACGGATGGCATAGAACAGGATAATAGAAATATGGAAAACACATTAAACTATTTGAGAAATTATACTGAAATCAACGCCTTTTGTATACTTTTAAAACCAAACAAATCGAGATTTGATGTCCTCTTCAAGTATTGTTTGCATCAATTGTTCACTCATTTGAATAAAAGCGCCGCAAATAATATATTATTTCTATTCACAAACTCCCGAAGCACTCACTACTTGCCGGGAGAATCCGGTCCCGCTTTGATCAGCTTATTGGACCAAATCAGGGAAAGTTCACCAAATGTTGACATCCCTTATAACAAGAATACAATCTATTGTTTCGATTCCGAGTCCTTTCGATATCTCGTGGCTTCAGTTCCGCCAAATAATATACAGTTTGACTCGAGTTTTAAAGTTAATTATGATGAAAGTTGGGAACAGTGAGTCAGACTACACATGCAATTAACTAATTACAATTATATTGTATATTAAAACTTTATTAATTTATTATTTACTATTATTTAGTTCTGTGACTGAATGTGATCGCCTATTGGCAACCATACTATCGTTAAAACCTTTTAACGTGCATGGTACATTAGAACACAATGCTGTTGACCAAGCAATTATATCGCCAATTACCAGGTTCAAATACTTTAAATTGATTTCAATAAAATTTATTTTAATTTAAAATAAATCACATTAAATAATTATTAATTTACTTTATTTTAATAGCGTTGCTAATGATAGCCCTTTCAACACATTTAAAAACACTATTACTGGAAATAAAAAGAAATCGCAAACATTGAATATTAGTAATTCAAATTACGATGATCAAAATAAAGGGCATTATAAATCATTAGAAAATGTTTGGTGATTTATATGTAAGCTATTCATTTATTTAAACTGTATACAACAACGTCCAACTATTTCAATCAACATGAATTTAATTTGTTTATTAAAATCTTATTTTATACAAGAATTTTAACATTTTAATTTTATTATTTTGAAATTACATGTTATCCAAATAATATAGCAATAACAAATAAAACATAATTAATTTTTATAAGTAATCTGGTTGAAATTAATTAAAAATAAATTGTTTCAATATTATACTTCCAATATTATATGATTCTTATACGTTATTAAATCATTCTTGAATAATTAAGAAAATAGATGCCCATGCTACATTAGTAACTAAATCATAGTTGTATTTCTTTCCCAAAACAATTTCACCTTATTAAACCCGCTATGGTCGGTGGCGTTGTAATTCACCTGATTGTGTGCCGTGTGGTGTTTCACTTTAGCTTGACGCTGTTGGTCGAGCATTATGCTAATGTAGGGGCCTTTATGTTTGAGCGAGCACAATAGGTCGACGCATTCATTAATTTTAGCCAGGGTAATCACCGACTTTTGGGCATCACTTTTCTTAGCATTTGTAATAATCTGTTTTTCCTTCTCGTATTGCTTTAACACGTGTTCGAGTCGTTTGATTGTTGTCTGACTGCCGGCGGCACCGGTAGTGCCGTACCGTTCGTTGGCTATCAGGTGTCGCACATAGTCTACAAACGCGTCGTTTACCGGCGTTAAGGCATTGTTTGCCAGAAAACAGGCAAACATTGACATCGACTGAACGATTGTCTCGTTTTCGGCCTTCAATTCGGCGATCCGTTGGTCCAGACGTCGGATCTGTTGCTCTTTGGCCTCAGCGGCCAATTGAGCCATTTTGATCTTGGTATCAATAATGTTCGCATCCACCTTGGTAACTTTAGCGTGTGTTTCGTAAAATATGTGCAGGTGCTTTTCATAGCCGTGTCCGCACGCGCGACACACGTGCGACTGGCCCAGTGTCTCCATAATTTTCTCCCCGGTCATTTTTAATGCCCTAATAAACGTGGATTTTCTCGGTTCACCAGGGTCACGATCGGTGCCGCTGTATCTATTAAATGCTTTGCATCCGAGCAAACCTTTATTGCCCACAACGTGACCATCGCTAAAATCCAGGTAGCATGGTGAATGACATTCAGTAGTGTATTTAGTCTCGGTCAAATCATTAGTGATTGTTACGCGTTTGCAGCACCGGCTGTCGCCGCACACAGTCTTTGGCCGGTCTAACGGTACGGATATTATCTCAACCGACGGTATGTATAGCTTATTCTGGAGCTCTTCAATGGTTCCCACAAACTCTTTGACATCAATTCTATGGTTTTTGCATTGCTTTACGTTATCCGCGATATTCTTCGTGATGTCGGCCAACGGTTTGGTTAATAATTGTATGATTTGTTTGGCGTTATTCAGCGATAAGGTGTCCATCACTTTGTGTGCCGGCAGTTGTATTATGTGATTGAATAGACGCCGACATTCATCTACTGATCTATTTAATTGAATGAATAATATTTTATAATTTATCTTAAAATGACAAATATAAATAATAATAATATATTGCTATTAATATTTGATACCATGTTTGTTTATTATGTTTATATCAATAATGTCATAAATGATCAATTTTGTAAATTTAAGGTATAGATTCAAATTAGATTTATGGTAAGAAGTTTAACAATATATTGTATCAAGAGTGCCAATTTTAGTTGCAGTATTGTATAAATAATTAGTACTATATAGAGTAAAATTTACAAACCTTTTCCAACTCTCAACAAAATTTGATTTAAATTTTGGGTCAAACTGTATATTATTTGGCGGAACCGAAGCCACGAGATATCGAAACGACTCGTTATCGAAACAATACGTTGTATTCTTGTTATAAGGGATGTCAACATTTGGTGGACTTTTACTCATTGAGTCTAAAAATTTAATTAAAGCGGGTCCGGTCTCTCCGGGCAAGTAGTTAGTGCTCCGGGAGTTTGTGTACAGAAATAGTATATTATTTGCGGCGCTTTTATTCAAATGAGTGAACAATTGAAACAAACAATACTTGAAGACTACATCAACTTTTTGCTCGTTTGGCTTTAAAAGTACGCAAAAAGCGTTGATTTCTCGATAATTACTTATAAAGTTTAATATGATTTGCATATTTAT